CAAGATTTGTTTCTGGCCTACCACCAAATCGGCCAGCAATTCCTGCGGGACATTCTGCGCTTCAGCTACCGAAAGTAAAGCATTGCGCAGCACACGACCAGCAGGATCTAAAGCTGCCTCATCTAGTGTTTCCAGTCTGCCTAGCTCCTGCATTCTACTCCCTAGTCTAGCCTTCCTAAGTATGGCTTTTCTTCTCCTCTCTGCTGCGTCGTCCAACTGCCGCTGTAGCTCATTCTGAAGTTCTTCTGGTTGCCGGATTTCTAAGTCCTCCGGCGTGAGTGGAATTTGCTGGCTGACTTGCAAGCTAGCAATCTGACTAGTGGAAACCTGAGAGCCACTCTGACCGACTCCTGACGAAGTGGACTGTGTAGAGACTTGCGACATAGCTGAGGTAGCCATGGTTGTACCGGTACTAGCCGAGACTCTGGTTTTCGGCTGCCCTCGCTCTCCTTGCAGCTGCTCTCTCTCTAGCCTCTCTCTGCAATCTTCTCTCGTCTCCTGGAACTAACTCTAAGAATGTCAAGGGTCGACTACGAGCAGTCCCACGAGTTGTCCTATAGTCGTCTACTAGCAACTCCTCCTCACTAGTGCTTGCATCACTCGTGAGCTACAGTGTGTGTGATCTAAACTAGAATCCACACTAAATCCTACCTTAGCCTGACACACAACCGATTATGAAACACAACTAATTTCGGTCGGATGGAACAGAAACAGTTAGGTGATATATTAACAACTAATGTCAGGTCCTATAGGATATATTAATTCTATTTTTGGATTACCCTGGAACAGATTGCACTACAGCAAAGATCTAATCTGTCTGTAGCTGTCTGTCACTTGTTAGCAAAGTCTGTCACAACTAGATAATCAAAAATAAAAATAACATCTCCTGTTGGAGATGTATACTGGATGGCAGATTGATAGTTGATTGCCACTGTGAACAATTACCGGAATCCCCCCTCCCCCTGTATCCTTCTTGAGTAGTCTCTTTGTGTCAACGTTCCTGAGCATCTGGTTGAGCAGCGTGTCTGAAGGTGTGCAATCCGSCCCACCCCTRTGYCCCAAGTCATTGCCGAACATGCCAGCCAGTCCACTCTTATTTATCCTCGTACGGAACGAGCCTTACCACCCGGTTTGATCTGGCTGATCAGGAGGGATTTAAGGAGAGCCCCCATCTCCTCAGGAATGATTTAACGTCGCAGACAGGACGACGATCACAGCCCGATTCAAATCCGAGTCCCCCAACCAGAAATATTTATAGACGGTCTGGTAAGCGTCTCATAAAAGGCTGGCATGCCCGACACGACCGCTATTGCGCAAGCAGCAGAACCAAGGACTTGCTGCCCAAGCATGCGTGTACTAGTCCCAACGGGTTGGCATGGTGACCGTGACCCGAGTGCTTCGTCCAGGGCCCTTCAAAGGCTTCGCCCGTCTCCCACCAGCTTGCTGCCCAGGAAGAATATTGACTCTCAAGGCTGAGCGCTCGCGACACCTCACATCGAGAGGCCTCTCAAGACAGAACTCACTTCCTCACGGTAAGAAGAGATGAAGAGGGTAGATAAGGAAGAGAGCAACGTACCTCATAAATGCTGCCCCCAACCACAGATTTCTCACCGGTAACCTGATGTGCAATTATGATGACCGGTCCTTGCCTCAGCACAACCAACANACGTACCTCATAAATGCTGCCCCCAACCACAGATTTCTCACCGGTAACCTGATGTGCAATTATGATGACCGGTCCTTGCCTCAGCACAACCAACAGCAGAATGCGGTTCCACCTTGGCTTAATATGCCACATCAGCGAGTTCTCATCATCCAGCATTCACCCCATATGTCACCACATAGCTCCTTGGCGCACCCACACTACCCTGGGCCGCCTATCGTTCAACGCCAATGCCTTATCACTGCCCCACACCTCATGCGAAGCACCAATAGCTATTTCGAAGAACCAATGAAGCGCAATATGAACCAGCTCCGATACCAAATCGCAAGGAAAATAAGCAACAGCGAGATGACAATTCCATTCACACCATCACATTGAAAGCCAGATAGTCACACTGTGTCCAGAGAGCAGCATTGCACCAATAATACACCAATGGAAGTTCGTAGCACTGAAAACCAATGTTCATGGAGAGCAAACTCTCTCCCCTCAACACAAGAGTCCAGTTCCTTCACACTCACACTTGGCGCTCAGCGCCCAGCCTGCTCCTACACAGCTACTAGAGACTACAAAAAGACAATGCAACTGTTGACATCAGCGGCAGCCCCAAGTACTTGAAGATGTCGCCCATGTAGACCATTGCCAATACAAGGTAAGTGCCCTCACATCATCATCATCATCATCATCCTTCACCCATCCCCTGACTACACCACACCTGTCCTCTCTTTGACCCGAMGACCACCCCTGCGCTTCACTGTAGTCCAAGCCCACCAGCTATGGTGGCTGGGCTATGGTGCTGCCCTCAGCAGCGCCCTCCTCTGCACGACCGCACGTGCTGCACCTCGCCTCTCAGCGCTAGCCAGCAGCCTCGAGCCTTTGCTCCAGCAGCGCTGCCGCTAGCATGCGAGTGCCTGAATGAGGCAGCCAGGGCCGAGCTCTTTCCTTTATGGAAAGAGTTGGCCTGCTCTCGCAGCCTGGCTGCACTGGCCTGGGCCCAGAAGCTTCCGGAAGGCCCCAGGAGGCTGCCTGTGTACAGCAGCTACTGGGCTGCTGGGCCTCGTTCGGTTGGGCGCCCAACTGTCTCTGTATGAGGCTGCGAATCACGCCCAGGGCCTGCATTCTTTGGAAAGGTCCGGAGGGCAGTGGAAATGTCTTTGTTGCTCGGCCTGTGTTTCGCTCAACCAACTGGCGTGTCGCAACTGCCTGGACCCCAAATATGAAATTGACAGTCGAGGGCCTCTTGCAAAAAGCCAGGCCCGCCTTCACTTAGGGCGGGCACCTCCGCCTTCACTTAGGGCGGGCACCTCCGCCTTCACTTAGGGCGGGAACCTCCGCCTTCACTTAGGGCGGGTAAGGCTGCAAACAGGGCCCCATAGGCCTACCAAGGACCCTGATCCTCGCACAGCGCACCACACCGCATGGCGCAGCGCACACTTGCGCCGCAGGTATGGTCTGGACCAGAGGTCTGTCTGATTCACCTGGAGTCAACGCGGTCTGTCTACCTGGTATGTGCTGGGAATTTGGGAAATCATAAAAATAGCATGGGCGCACCCTCGTCAGTACCCAAAGCATGGCCGACTGGCCACTCTCCAGAGAACTCTGGGACATTAAAATATGAATGCTGAAATAAAAACACGGGCGCACCGGCCCAACGGACATAAGAATAAAACCGGGGTCAGCATGGCGAGGTTCTGAGAAAAGGCTGGTGGCCTTGAGAAAATAACCGGGCTGAGCGGCCAAATCTGGCCTGCAAAACCCTAGAATGCAACACAGCACCTCCATCTGTTTTCTAGAAGCTAACCAACCACAGCAGATGATCAACATCAAGAGTAGCTGTGACGCGTGCCCCCTTTGGGACGACGCATGGTTAGTTTATAAAGGCACTGCCTGCGTATGCTGGATAGAGCCATAGGGAGGGCTGCTTTACTTAGTCTTAGGGGGTCTGGGGATCAGGGTCTTATCTTGGCTCCATCATGGGCCGCAGGAGGAAAGGGGGGGGAGGGGGGCGGGATAGGGGTTAGTGTAGACTAGAAGGGGAGGGTGCATTGCCTGGACTGTCGGGAATTTAGAACTGCCAGGAATTGCCTGAAAGAAATTGGAACTAGCACAACTGTTGGTACCTCTGCGTGGGTCATTTGGACCCTCCGATCCATCAGTCTCGTCAGTATGCACTAGTCTGTGGGGGTGTCATGGTTGTACTAGTCTGTGGGGGTGTCATGGTTGAGCCTGGGTACAGCAAGTATGTTTCCCCTCACCATGGTACCCGTACAAGAGTCGACACAGAGCGAACTTTGACTACGGTAGGGCCCATTTCGGGGGGAATAATCCTACGCACACACCGAGTGTTAGTATGGGATGGGTACTGGGTACTTCTCATCCCACAGCCATCTCACAATGTCTGCGGGTGATGCTTCATCCAGGTTGGGGTCTGTGGGACTTCTTATTGGGGGAATTAGTTGGGATTGTGGATTCTTGGGAAGCCTTGGGTAAGGAGCACATCATGCTTAGGATAGGGGATGGTGGGATATCACATACTAGTGGAAGGGCGGTTCGCTGCCCATAGAGTCTGCGGTATGAGGCACAGATGGGGGATGACTGCATATGCATGGACCCCGCCTGTGCCCGGGCCGTCCTTAACATAAGAGTTAGGGTAGTATCTTCACAAAGGTGTTCAGGTTAGTCCGGTAAGTGTTGGAGCAGATCGATCTGAACATTAGTATAGGTTACGGTATCATGGTGCCATCTTGAGGTGACTCCCCCTAGGATCCCTGCAATCCATCTGACCTCCCAATGGATGAGTACCGGGGCACCTCCTGAGGCCTGGTCACCACCCTCTACTACACCCTGGACCTTCGAAAAAAAAGAAATAGAAAAAAGAAAAGAAAAAAGAAAAGAAAATGCAAAAGGGGAATGAATCTCTGTCTACCAGAGGCAAGGTTGCTTTGGAGTCTGAACATAAATAATCATAATGTGGCACCCTTCACTTTGCTACACATGTACATGTCGTTAACAGGGACCCCCACTTTCAGCTACTATCCTCCTGTGTTTTGGACAGCAAGCAAGATCATTTTGGGGTCTGAAGATAAAGAATGGCCACATGGCAGCCTTCATTTTGCTACACCTGTGTTTGCACAGCAATGAGCATCATTGGAATTCTCTGGCCGATTTTGTACTCACACATCACATAAGACCAGCAACAAGGGCGAGCATTTGCACTCCAGGACAAACATGGAACCATGCTACCTCTTCGTTAGCTTCAAATAGGAGCACTCCTGCCATGCATTTGCCTCAATAAGACAAAAAAAGAAGGAGAAAGAAGAGGAGGCCAATGTTAACCCACCTTTTTCCCTTTCCCACTGGGTTTGAATTCTTGGCGGTTTCCTTTGCCAACATTGAAGTCGATACTCTTGATCTCCTTGCTTTCGTCCCGAAACACAAAGTGGCTTGGTGCAAGGCCTATAATGCAAAGCCTGAAATGAAGATCGCAAGCAAGAACCCACGTGAAGACTAGGAAACACTAAATCTCTTTCCCAGCCTTCTTTTGGTAGAAGTACAACGAAAAAGGAAAAATAGTAGATCCCAGAGACTGTCCATGGAAACTTGCTCTCTCCTGAGGCCTTACTCCCAACAACTTTGAGGGCAGAGAATGTCACCATGTGCCTCACTGCATCTTTATCATCGCTGTCAGTCATCATATGCCTGCTCATACTTAGAGACAAGACATCTGTATCTGTAGCACCTAACGAGGGTCCAAGGAATGTGAAGCATGCTGTGTGTTGCTTTAACCAAAGGCAAAGGGACTTCCTCAGGATGGCTTCTGCGATTTTATCGAAGAGAGTCCATCCTCCTCCTTCTTCCCCCCCCCTTTCCTTCACAGTACTGGTTCTATCATACTATCATCACACATGTACCTCCTCATGCATTCTGTCACTAAAACACAAGGACGTCACTCTACGCCAGCATCCTTTACAGTGTTTCAATGGTCTTGAGTCCTTACTGGGCTCATTTTATGTTTCATCAATGATCTTTCCATTAAGCCTCTTAGTGATTGTGTGAGCCAATTAGAGAAAGGTGCCAGAGTAGGTTAGCAAGACGGTGGGCAAATGGGTAAGATGGTGGGCAAATGGGCATGTAGGCACAAAGCTGAGCAACCAGGTGAGAGAATTGACAAAGAAGCAAATACCAAGCAAAATGATTTCTGGTGCAACCATGCAACCTAGGTAGGTAAACATCCTGTGAGAACCAAGCGAGCGACTGAACAAGTATAGATCGGCGTAGAGTGACGGAACAACAATGAGTGACTAGAGCAATTAGAAATTGATCGAACAGGTGTCATGAGAAAGTAAGTGGTCAGTCCACTGGGTAAGGTAAGCGGACGAGGGCATACGAAAGTGAAGAGGTGAGCAAATCAACGATTGAGAGGAGTCACACTTTTTCCCAGTCAGGCCATTTCTGGCAACCGGAAAGACAATAGGCTGTCATGCTGAAACAGTATTCATCAATTTGCAGTAGCTGATGCAGATCCCAAGGCTCGATCCCTAGTTCCCACCTTACCTGTGTAAAGTATCTGTCAGCCCTTAGAGTTGAACTCGTGACCTGTGTATTTGTGACAGTGGTAGACTGTCGTAGGGTCCTGAGGTCGCAGGGGTTCGATCTGTAGACCTGTCGAGTAGGAGTCTTAGTCAGGTCTAGAAGTCGTAGCTGTAGCTTTCCCGAAAGGTCAAGGTCGTAGCTGCTACAGTCCAGAAGGGTCAAGGTTGTAGCTGCTACAGTCACGAAAGGCCAAGTCTACGGCCTTCCGGAAGGTCCCAGTAGTGGCCTTTCGAAGTTGCCCACGTTTAGACTGAGGCAAGTGGGCAAGTGGCGAGGCAAGTGGTGGAGTCTACCCGTGCTGAGTCAGCAGTCCCAGTCCCCAGT